AAGGCTGTTCGTCTCGATTAGCCAGTCTATTCTAGTGTACCGTTATCATCTTTGACATAGTATGTCGCTGAATCCTTTTGATCCTGTTCGCCTTATAAGGGCCTTCCCAGGATGGCTGCAGATTAGGCGACTTTCCTCTAGCTGAGGTTAGGATGCACAACCATATCTGTTCTCCTTCCCTGAATTCCAAAGAGTTGCCAGGCAGTCGTAGAGAGCCATCAACCCGTCGCAGGGCTCGTATAGATGTTGAGGCGCACATTGATGGGTGTAATGCTGCCGTTACATGAGGTTTATCACGTAGTTGGTAGTGAGCTGTTCCTTGTCTGGAGCCCCGAACAGCATGCCGGAGAGCAGACGTAGCTATGTCTCGTCGTGCTTGTGGTTTCGTTGACTTGATGCTTCACAAGCCTGCAGGAAGAGGGGTAACCTCTTGTCCCAGTCTCTCTGGTGCGTTAAAATGACGTTCTTAAGGTGCTGCTCTAATGTCTTCACGTATCTTTGTGGCATGCCGTTTGATTGTGGCTGCTGAAAGGTGGTGCAAGTTTGGCAGATTTCCTATAGGAGTTGTGATTCGAAGATCACACGTTGTAGCAACTCTCAATGTTGCTCATGGTGTATGGACAGTATCATCACTGATTAACTGCACATAGGCTTTTACTGAAACTTGTATGTCCTCCTAGAGTTCGGAGCTCTTCCAACACTTCCCCATCTTGCTCCGGGGAAGAACTATTTGGTCTGTTTTGGTTCATCCATTGGCTGACTTCCAGTGGCGCTCTTGGCGTCTCGCCGCTAAGGAGTTCCACTGAGCCCAGTAATTCTTGAAGACCGGACTGTGGTCAGCGATGTCCTTCCACTCGGGACCTGTCCACCCGCCACTTCCTCCAGATTTGTATCCACGTCGTTGCCGTCCACTTGCTTTCTACTTAGGGCGGCAAGGTCCCAGCCGTCCTTGGCGAGGGTGGTGCTTTGATATATAAACTTCTTGCTGCCTCTGCTGCATAACTGATATACGTAGTAAAATCCAAACGATAAACGTTCTTCGCATCTGTAATGACTGCATGGCACTTCTACCGTGTATAATTATCTGCCTGGTCGTTGCTAGGACGCCACGCAAGATGCATAATACATAAAGCCAGCTACCAATACGCGTATATGAACATCTGTTTCATCTTTAGGCAATCATAAACGATTTGTAAGATCTGAGGTTTTCACGGCGGTGACTATGGAGAATGCCGTCTTCTGGGACGTGGCGCCGTGTAGATCTTGTGTGAACCGATGTTTCGGAGGAACGTATCGCCTCCATATTCAGGGTATAAAAATCTGCGAGCGAGGAACCACCGTGAGCAGGTGGCCATATGTTCCTCCGAAACATCGGTTGACACAAAATCTACACGGCTCCATATCCCAGAAGACGGTACTCTTTCCATGTATATATGACTTAATGCATGAAGTGATAAATTTTATGTTTGTAAGCTATAATTAATATATCTGGTATATATATATATATGTAAGATTTGAGGCTTTCACAGCGGTGACTGTGAACAAAACAGTCTTCTGGGATTTGGCACCGTGTATATGTGGTGTTAACCGACGTTTCGGAGGAACGTATCGCCTCCATCTTCAGGGTAGAAGAAAAAATATAAGAAATCTGCAAGCGAAGAGACCGTGAGAACCGGTAAAAGCAGGCAGTCGCTTGGAAACCGGGATCGTGGGTTCGAATCCCAATCAGGGCATGGATTTTTAGTTTGTGTGTGTGCGTATTTCTGTGTTTGTGTACAGGTAGAGGCCTTGCGACGAGCTGATCACCCGCCCAAGGAGTCATACCGAATGTGTAAGATCAAGAAAAACCGAAGTGAACGGAGAAGCTCACGGAGGTAGGCGTAGGCCCACTGGGGCTCTAGTGCCAAGGAAAAAAAAAATGGGATAAAACAAATTAAGTATCTACATCTATATTTCAGTATTCCTGGCGAAGAGCAGATACTTTGACTAGTATACATTGCTTTTGAGACTCCAGTTATTAAACTTGCTCGGATCCAGGGAACCCTGAGTCCACGCGTCTGTCAAGGTGACGCGCCACACGCGAGTCTTGTCTCACTTGAAATGCGCTTCTCGTTTCGAACTGTTAAACCGTTTCTGATGACGTACTTGCAGTCTTCCATTGTGCCAAATGTCTTACGTAATTCCTTGGTAAGTACTCGTATGTGTCCATGCGAGCGTTATTGCATCTCCGCAGTGTCGAATCCACGCACTGCGCATCAGACTGTCGCTATCAGCGCAGAGTCTGCCGCTAGTACGTTCCTTTAAAAAAATTCCACTATAATTCATTATTTGCGTTCGTGCAGTTCCTTGTTTTAAAGCCACGATCGCTGTAACTAATTACGTTAACAGAGACAGAAATGTTATTTTTATCTAGAAATGGACGGAAATTTTGTTTCCTAATTTTCACTAATTAACAACTCATCACCGAACAGGTGGGGAGCCGGGATAGCATAGTCGGTATAGCGACTGGCTACAGGCTGGGCGACCGAGGGGTCGGAGTTCCGAGTCCCGGCAGGGCCAAGAATTTTATCTTCTACACGTCGTCCAGACCGGCTCTGGGGTCCACCCAACCTCTATGGAAACCGGGGGCTCTTTTCCCAGGGTATAGGGGCCAGAGCATGAAGCTGACCACTCACCTTAACTAGTTCCGAGGGCAAGAAAATGTGGATCTATACATATACTCCCTCATACGCCTTCATGGTGTAGTACTTAACTAGTTAAGCCAGGGACAACTTTACTTTACCGAACAGGTGGTTTGGGCTTGTATTCCATATTTTTTTTTTTGCTAGGGGGTGGGGATTGAGTCCTTGGTACTGCGGTCACTTT